GGGCAGATTGTATTAGTTGGGCTTTGTTGGCTGATCATTCGAAATCGCTAATATTATGATACTTGTGTGGGTTGGATATCTCTTACATTCTTTCCTTGATAAAAATCTTCTGTTGTTGGTAGATTAAAAGAAGAATATTAATTAGTATACATTCCAAATCAATATATTGAACAATACACTTATTAAAAAATAATTATTTTTTTTATCTAAAATTAAAGATAAATAAACTTAAAGATTAAATCATATATACAAAGTGTATAAATTGACTGTATTTATATTATATTTTAATAACTAAAGTGTTTTAAATCTAATTTGTACTAATTATTTCTTAAAAAGAAAGAAAAAAATAAACCTAAACGCATTTCTTTCCTGGCAATTTGAGGGCAAAGAGAACACGGGACTTGCTACAGTAGTTACATGTAGCGCAACCCTATATGTGACTCAGATTGCAATTAATATTGTTAAAAATATCAATTTAGTCCCTCAACTTTTATATTTTTACTAAATCTATTTTTGAACTTTAAAAATTACCACAAATTAGTAATTTAACCCTTAATAATCTTCTCATGCTCTTTGCACTTCCACTTTCTCCAGTCATACACTAAAAATAAACGGCATGTAACACCTAAAATAAAGATACATGTGCTTCTATGCCTTCCTTTGCCGGCAAAAGAAGCAAAGAATGCATAATAGTAGTGTTTCGGTCTCTATATATATTAATTCCTGCATGATTTCCTATATGATATCATATGACTAATTCTCTCCTCGTCCTCTAACAGCGAACCTTTTTCCTTAATTCATTCTTCTGCTTCTTCCAATTGGTGAGTATTCTTTGGCTACATATAGCTTTGATTATTTGCTCTTTTTGTTAAAATATCTCGTTATATATGAATCAATGCATTTTGCGACTATTAATTTTTATAATTCTCTTAGATTAGGTTCATCAATTTGGAGGAAATTGAGGTTTAAATTGATATGATCGATCTTTTGTTGGAGTAATGCTCAGCTTTTAATTTAAAACCTATTTTTCTTAACATAACTCCTACTTCGATATAACTTAAGAAAACTGAGGTTTAAATGGATAGTATTGGTACTGTCAAAATATTAAAATGTTATATCTAACAAAATTACGTTAGTTTTCTTAGCAGAATTTCATATAAGCAACTACATGACACTACATAGACATGACATAACACAAAAAAATTACATTTTATTGCATAATCGACCTCACATCACTTACTTCCTTAATTTTCTTCTCATCTTGGACAATTGATAATGCTCTTTTCCAATTTTTCTATCACCAATTGTGGTTGTTAAAATGTAATTTTTTAGAGGCATATGGGGTTAATAATATTGTGCTACGTATGCACCAACATATAAGAAATCTTGTTAGAAAAACAAACTAAACTTTTTAAATTAAAATAATAATTTATTAATAATTAATAGACCCAACATAAAATTTAACTAATTAAATTAGTAGTGAAAAAATAATATGTAACAAGAATATATGCTTAAGGGTCAAATTTGTATTTTAATGTCTGACTTTATTTTTTATCTATAATAATTATTTTTGTTACTAAATTTTCTGCCAGGAGTTTTTTGGGAGAGAGAGAACTACAGTGCTAAAATCTGAATTCAAGAAGGTTAAGACCAATTGATCGATTCCGAGGAAAGAAATATGGTAATAAATGTTTTTTATTTTTTATTGTTGTTACCATATAAATGTTTTGTGTACTTTTGATTATATTAATCCTATTTCTATTTCATTAATTTTACAGAATAGTATTTTTTAGTATAAATGTATTTTTTTTACAATTTAAATTCTTTTTTAGACAAAGCCAGAGTTTTTCAAAGCCATCCTTCCTTTTAAGCAAATCTTCTTCTAAAAGATCCTAAGCTTCACATTTTCAATCAATAGAATCAACTTTCTTCATTGCCTCATCAACTTGACTGTCAATGTTACCAAACACCTCCTTGTCCCACTTCTTCAGGTGTTGCTTGAGCATTCTAAGCTTTTCTTTACATTTAAAACCCCAGTACCCTTCAACTTCAAAGGAGCTCCATAACTTCTCAATTAGATGATTCAATTCAGCGTGCAAAAACCAGCTATTTATAAACCTGGATGGTTTAGGCCCTCAATTATGGATGTCAGAGGCAAGGCTAATAGGGGCAATGATCATTGATGGTTCTCTTTAATGCTAATTGAACACAATATCCCCAAAACTCTAGATAGTTTTTAGATAGAAGAAATCTATCCAATCTACTGTGTGCTACCCCATCACTCTTGTACCATGAAAATTTTCTGTATGATAAAGGCAAGTCTACGGGACAATTTGATTCAACAAATAAGTTAAAGTCACAAGATCCAGGATGGGAAATTATTCTGCCTATTCTTTCATGTGATCCCTTGACATAGTTGAAATCACCACCAAGACAAAAGAAGCAGTTCCATGTTCCAAAAAGGGTAGATAAATCCTCCCACAACTTTGCACAACCTGCCGCATTACATGGACCATAAACATTCACAAAACAACAGTTACATTTGCTTATACCCCATAAACCCTCAACACCCAAGAATCGATCACCTTCAATAACCTAAGTCTTCTCGAAAAGACTGGAATCCCATATACACAATAGGCCGCCGGCCCTACCACTTGAGCTTTTACTGCACCAATCAAAATTATCCCACCCCTAGATCGATCTACATAATTGCTCATCAACAATTTCAACTTTTGTCTCCTGAATCATTAAAAAATTTACGTACTCATGATGAACCATACTCCTCAACTCTCTCCTCCTAATGCTGTTTCCAAGCCCCGGGTATTGAATGTGACTGTCTCCATTGAAAAGAGAATCTGGTAGTGGAGAAGGAAAAGATCTAAGGCAATTTGATGCCCCAGATCTCGCTCCTCCAGTCCATGAAACTTAGCAGCAAAGAGCTCTTCATTTCCCGCAAAAAAAAGTCCGAATCGCTTTCCAAATTCTACAAATCTCCTGATATCCAATTCGTCAACATCTTTTGTTGATAATCTACTTCTTCTTTCTATAAAGCTGTCAGATAGAGAAGGCCCGAGCCGGTTAGACCCAAATAGCCATTTCCAGCATCTCTTCGCTTAGATAGTCACTTTAATATTTAATTATATCATATTAGGTTCATCACTTTAGAAGAAATTGAGGTTCAAATAGATATAATTGTGCTTGTCGGAGTTATGTTTAGAAAAACAAGTAATTAAATTAGTGAAATGTATTATGAAATAAAATTATTATATCTTTCATTGCCTTGCCTTTTTGTCATGTCAAAAATAATTTTAAACCCCTTTTCATCTATTACAGAATTTGAATTTGAGAAATTTAACAAGAAGGCTCAAGTTTTTAATTAGTGAATTGGAAGTCACATTTGGACTTCCATTGCCTTTTTATCTAGACTAGAAGCTGAGATTTAGTTGAGGTTGACTTTGACCTCACTCAGTAAATTTGAACACGAATATATGGTGAAAATGTGTAGATAAAGATATAGATTTTGTCTTTTTTATTTAGAAATATAGACTTTTATATTTCTAAATTAAGCAGTAAGTTATTATTTTTTTTTCAAATAAGGACATGAAATTTGTGTTTTCTTTTATTTAAGAATTCGTTAGATAACAATGATGATGTGGTAAATGATCTTAATCAAAATATGACCAAGTTCATATCCATAAATAGAAAAAGTGAAAGTTTATTATCTGATTTAAAAATTCAAAGTTTTTATTCTTTAAAAGAAAAAATGATAAAATTTATATTCTTATCATAACATTTTTTCAAATATATGCTCTAGGCTTGACTACTTGCCTAACTTTTCATCAATCTATGTACTTTCTTTGTGCCAAAATAATTATAGTTTTTTATTTTGAATTTGTCCTAAATTAATTGTCATCTTTTTATTTCTCAAAGTAGACAAATATTTTTTTTTATTTTAATCTCATCATTATACATTCACTTTAATTAATTATCAAACCACAAAAAGCCTGTCTTTATTTTTTTTTAAGAATATTATATGTAAATATAGTTATTATCCCTAAATGATTAATTAATTTTTTTTTTTTTGATCAGCAAAGAAATTTATTATTTTTTTGGAGTACAAGGGGTACTCCTGCCCTTTACAAAAACAAGATCATCAGGGATGTTAGAAAGACCACATCCACTAAAAATTCAAAAACTATTCTGCAGCTGAAA